GTTCTCTCTCCCAGATCATCATTCTTACAAATTATTAGCACATTTATAATCCTCAACACATACCGAATCTAATGAGATCATCAATTCCCCAAACAAAAATCATCCAAATTTTCACAACCTAATTTACAGGCACTTTTCTATAATTTTGTTCTCTCTCCTAGAGCATCATTTTTACCAATTAATCATATATCTATATTCCTAAATACATACAGAATCAAATATAAGACCAATAATCATTCAAACAAAAATAATTATAAAATTACTCATAATCCTAAGGATTCTTCCTCTACCCAATTCCCTCATGTAACTCTACATATAAATAATTCTCTTTTCCCCCGTACCTGGATAAACAACAGTTGAACTAAACAGGGATCTCTTGGTCTCCTCCTCTAAGTGCCCCTTGGTCTTCAGAGAGAAGAAGAGAGAAAGAAGAGAGAACAGAAGATAATAGAAAGAGAAAATGAGATATGTGTGAAAATGACAGGTGAGGGGCGCTATTTATAGGATTTCAGGCTCACCTACCAGAACGGTCCGTTCCAAAAGTGGAACACCTGTTCTGGACCCTTCAAACCTACGCAAATTTCTCAACTGGAACGGCCCGTTCTAAAACCAGAACGGTCCGTTCTCAAACCCAGCAGAACGACCCCGTTCTCCCTCCAGAACGGCCCGTTGTCCAAACCAGAACGACCCGTTCTCCAATTGGAACGGCCCGTTCTCCCACTTCATTTTCTAAGCATTTTCTTATTTCGAAACGGTCCGTTTCACTTTTGAAACGGCCCGTTCCGGGCAATGGATTGGGCCATTGGCCCAGCGAAAAATTGGGCTGTTACAAGGTACTAAGATTGTTATCTCTTGGGATAAAAGATTGGAGTGAAATTTATCGTGTTAGAACTATAATAGTTACTTGTTTTTTTTTTTTTTTATGTAGTTTGAGGTTCAGTATCTTCATGATCATGTGTCCTTTATTGTTGGCGTTGAGTTAAACCGCTACCCTTCTGTCGATTTTTCTGCGACTTTGGGTACTCCCAGCAGCATTGCCTTTGGAGCCGAAACCAGCTACTCCACAAGTGTTGGCAAGTTTACGAAATATAATGCTGGTGTGTGCTTGAATATGCCAAGTTCCCATGCTTCAGTAATTTGTAAGTAATTGAACTGTTTTTAATTGTCTGATGTTAAATTAGTACATGGAATGCATCTTTGTTAAGCCAAATATTTTCATATATGTAATGGTTATTTGTTTCTTGAATGCTACTTGGATATTCTTTCTATAAAGATAATTTAGATGTTTTTCTCGTCATAGAAGTGTTAGCGCGACACATTTTTTAAAATATTTTTATTATTAACTAAAATTTATTAGAAACTACAAAATCATGAGTAAGAAGATTCATTAAATAAGAGTAAAGTAAGATATAATTTTTGATGCATGTGTGTGATATATATGTGTTTATTCCAAAAAAGAAGTCTCACGTTGTTTGATGTTCGTAAGATTTAAGACTTTATATATTAAAGTGTTTCTTACACAAAAATATAAACAATAAATGTTGGTTTTGTGTCCATTAGATGTCTATTAGATGAGTCTTTAATGATAAAATAAGGAATTTATTTTGAATATTTATCATTTTTCTCGTATAACATAGATAAGTTCTTAAGGTTAATATTTTCACTAGTAGAAAATAAGTATATTACGTCACCCCTTTTACGTCGGAAATACGAAAATCCGACGTAAAAAAAATGCGGTGGCATTTTTGTAATTTTTGCGAACTTTTTTACGTCGCACCTGGTAAGGTGCGACGTAAAAAGTCCAATCTACGTCGGACCTTCCCAGGTGCGACGTAAAAAGTCCAATCTACGTCGCACCTTCCCAGGTGCGACGTAAATTTACGTCGCACCTTCCCAGGTGCGACGTAAATTTACGTCGCACCCTACCAGGTCCGACGTAAAAAAGACGCAAATTTGAATAAGAGAGCGCGAGGCACACCGCGCGCATTCACTTTTCATTTTTTTCTCTGTAAACCCTCTTCCTCTTCGTTGTGTAAATCCCTCCGCCTCCTACTCCTTCGGTCCTTCCTTCCTTATAATTTTTCTATCATTCAGTCTCCGTTCATACGACAAAAACAAGCAGTTTGCGTTCATACGACTAAATGTGTATTTTGAACTTATTATGTGTGTTTCTTTATATATTTTGAGTAGGAACAACCAGTGGCTGAAGCCAAGCCTGAGGAGAACAGAGAAGAGAAGCGATTCTGGGAAGAAAAGCGATTTCTGGGAGGAAAACGCAGAAGAAAAGCGATTTCTGGGAAGCAGAACGGGCCGTTCTGCAAGGAGAACGGCCCGTTCTCCAAGCAGTATGGGCCGTTCTCCAAACAGAATGCCCCGTTCTGCAAGGAGAACGGGCCGTTCTCCAAGCAGAACGGGCCGTTCTGCTGCATT